CCCCCCCCCCCCAAACCAAACATGGAAATGTACACTTCCTATACAGATGAAATGTCGGTGATCAAAATAATCAGTTCTGTGGATACAGATCTTCTCTCTGTCCTGAAAAATTTAATCTTATACATTAATTCCTGTACTATTGTTGAAATGTGTGGTTTGTAATATTACCAAATGTTCCTCAATTTTTAATGTTCTAAGACAATCAACAATTTCCAAATAATAATACAAAATTAGTGAAACTAATTTTTATAGATTAGAAATAGATTAGAGTAACTCTTCTCTTTTTCCTCCCAGCCTTATTTAGTTACCCTACCTACTCCATCCCACATGTTAAAAGTATAATTTTATTGCTGTAACAAAAATTTATTTTTGACTACATTATTTCTTGAAAATGGTATATCTTCAACAAAATCATTATGTATGTCATAGTGCAAGCAATTATTTGTAGCTATAAGACACTTTTATTTTCAGAATTATTGGGATTTTGGACTCTGTCCATCATCCAGTATTCTAGAAACTAGAAAACACAGTGTTTCAGAAACAGGATCTGTTTCCATCCTCAGGAGAGTGGGGGAAGTCATCTACTAAGTTGGGTCCCTTAGAAAGAGCTAACCTCAATCAGTGATTTTGTTTTCTAAATTCTAGAAATATGGGACAATGGACAAAATCCAAAAACCCAATAATTCTGACTATTATACACCATCACCAGAAACCATTATAATCTACTTTTAATTTCATTTTGCAGGAACTCCCCAATTGTTAATGAAGCTGGATACATGAGCAGATGTTGAAGAAATGGAGCTCTGATCATCAGATAATATCCCTACATAGGAGAAGTCATAACCCAAAGCATGAAGTAAACCACAATCTTTCTAGAACTCATTTGAATTCATGTCTGTGGTGTGTATATCAAGGTTAATTTATGCAATTGGCCATCTACACTTATAAACGCATCTGGTATTGAATTTAAAAAAAAAAATTGTTTTAATAAGTGTAGATGGTCAGTTACACAAAGTAACCTTCCTAAAAATCTGCCAATATGGAAGAACATACAACTTCCACAGACCCTGCAACAACTCCACAAGATCTGCAAGAACAGCTACTGGAAGCACTACTAGCTCGAGATCTCACCACCTTCTGTGAATTGCTGAGAAACCCTAAAGTTAAGCCTGTTCACAAGTATGGACCACCACACTGGTTCACATGCCTTGAAATAGCTTGCCAGCATGATGGCTGCGAAGAATTTGTTAGCGCTTTACTCCAGGCAGGTGTTAAACCCAATATAAATACCATTGTCTCTGAACCTATACATTATGCTGCTTCCAAAGGACATGACAAGACCTTGAAGGTTCTTCTCTGTGATAAACGAACCAAAGTGAATGCCGTGGATAATTTTGGGCGAACAGCTCTTCACCTTGCTGCCAAAAATTTTGGAAGTGGAGAAGATGCAGAGCGGTAAGAATATAAAAACATTCTGTTTCAACACATATATTTACTGCACTTTTATTTCACTCATTTGTTACCTTGATATTTCAAGAAATTAACCATTATGGGTTATTTAATGCCACTTTTAGTACAGATTATATAACATCAGGCTGTAGGATGATAGATAAACTGAGAATGATTTGAAAGGAAGCCGTTGCGGCCTAATTGAGGTACTATTCTGTACTTTTCTTGGAGGACTGCTGGGAATCATGAAAATCCTGTCAGGATAGCCAATGTCTGAACTGATACTCAGAATGAGTACCTTGAGAAAAAATCTAGTGTTACTTCCAGATGAACCTGTACAGACCTATTTAAGAAATGTATGATTTTATGAATACACACCACAATCTTCTTTGCCTTCTAGCATTTTTTCATTTTACATGGGTTAATGTATGAAGTGTCTACAGTCTCACAGACTTTCTTCTTTCTCTCCAGCTTTCTCTTCTCATCATCTTCAGCATCTGACTGAACCATTCTCTTCTATCATTCCAACCTTATCATTTCTCTAAGTTTTAATAATACTGTGGGCTTTAATGTTATGACCATTCCTTTTCCATGCCAAAGCATCCGAAATTTTTCTCTTCTAACTGTATTAACAGGACAATAGTAAAATGGATCTTAGGGAGATAGGATGGGATGGATTGGATTTCTCTGGCTCAAGTTAGGGACCAGTGGAAGGCTCTTGTGAACATAGTAATGGACCTTCAGGCTCCATAAAATGCTGGGAAGTTCTTGAGTAGCTGCAGATTTGGTGGCTCCTCAAGAAAGGCTCAGCTCCATAAGTAAACTGCATTAACAAACTTTTAATTCCAACTTCTCTTCTAAATTTCACTACTTCTATCCATTATTACTTTTCCTTCAGAAGTTAACAATTTCATATACATTCTTTGGAGTTAGCCTCGTATCTTTGTAAGGGTCTGGGTTTTGGCAGTTCATGTCAGAATAGTTTTAAAGTACTCTTTATGCATAATGTCTTGGTATCTTTCCATTTCATAATATTCCTTTTATAATTTTATAATAAAATTTACAAATAAGAAAAGGTAAGACAGGAGAAATGTGGGAGAAGACACTTGAAATCCTAGCATCCACCTGCAAGGAAGAAGAAGAAAAAATTTCAACTTCAGTTAGGATGACATGTTTTTCAGTACTTCATCTCTGTTCTTAACTTCTGTTTAACTTCTTCAGCTGCTATCAGTTATTTAGTCACACATGTTCATGGAATTTCTTTCAGTTATGATTATAATATAAATTAATTGCTTAATTTTTCATTAGGAAAGTGACAATGAAAATTTACCAGACTTCCATGGCTGTGTTCAAAATACTCTTTTGTCATCAAAGACTGTTAGCATAAGAACAAAAATACTATGTATTATTTCCCATTTACAATCTACCTCTGCTGAATAAAGTAACTTAATCATACAACATGAGGTATGCCCCACTCTGGCATCAACTGCACTGATTAGACGAGTGTTCAAAAGCTCACACAAGAAAGGTGGAAAAGTGGCTCAAGAAAAGTTTAAAGTACTTCCATTTATCTCTTCAATAGTTCATTTAAAATAAATACCTGCATGATCCATATCACATTTCAAATGACGTACTTTCCAAATTAATTATCTGGGAAATAGTTCCTTCTGTTTCTAAAATACTTGAAATATTTTCTCATGGATGATCAACATGTCACAGACCGAATTTTATTCTGATGCTAAAAAAACCTGATGATTTCACATTTCCTAAACAGCTTATTGACCAAATAGAGCAATGTGAATAATTTAAGCAGTGATTCACACACCTCTGTGAAAAGAATTAGTATTCAAACTGTGTCTTCAGACTAAAAATATAATATACTCTTATTCCCAGGTATGAACGATGTATTGCATTGCTGATGTCCTGCTCAAACATAGACGTGAACCATCCCAATATGAAAGGCTGCACTGCTGTTTATGAAGCTGCATATTACGGAGGTCAGGAAGCAGTATTAGCTATGCTAAGGTATGGTTCACACATATTAGACATTGATTCCTCAAATGGAGTTGGCAGATCAGCTCGTGAAATTATCATTGAAAGTTACCCTGACTTGAGAAGTATTCTCCCATCTCCAAGGACTGAACATCTTCATTCAGACCCCAACACACAACTGCTAGCAGCTTTTCAACACAGACAATTGAAAATCTTCTGTGATATTCTGTGCCAAGTTAATAAATATGGTAATGCTTGTCTCAATCCCAACTTCTGGTACAGCAAACCTTATAATTCTACATGTCTTGAAATGGCATGTAAGGAAACTGGATGTGAAGAATTTGTACGTGCATTGCTCTCAGCTGGAGCAGATCCAAACACAGTTAACATTATTACACACAAACCACTTCTACATTTAATTGCTGAAGAAGGAAACTACGAGGCAATGAAGGTATTGCTGGAAGACAGAAGAGTAAACTTGAACATAGTGGATGAATGTGGGAGAACTGCTCTACACATTGCAGTGGAGCAAAATGAAGGAAATGAGGGAGACATCAGAAGACAGTTGGAATGTATTTCTCTTCTACTAAAACAAAATGGAATAGATGTGAATAGAACTGACAAGAATGGTTGTACTGTGGTTCATTCAGCAAAACTTAGAAACAATACTGAGGCACTAAACTTAATCCTGGATCAAGATGCACTGAGATTTGACATGGAGATTTCCCAGGAACCAGAGAAGAAGAGTGTTGCAGAGAACTGTGAAAGTGCACTCAAGGAAGCTCTGTTCCAGTATTTATATAAGCGAGAAATCCAAGATTTTATAAGAACTTTCAAGAAACTTGTGAATAAATATGCTAATCTCAGAATACTAGAACTTGATGATGGGCATTATACATTGTTACAATATGCCAGCAATTATGGATTGCATGATGTCGTTAAAGTGTTACTGGAATATCAAGCAGATCCGAATGCTACTACCGAATATGACAAAAGGCCACCAGTCATTCTCGCATGCTTAAGACAGAACCAAGACATTCTAAAATGTTTCCTTGACTTGCCACCTGAATCAAATTTTAACATTAATGCTATAGATGCAAGAGGGAATACAGCACTCCATTATGCAGTTCAAAATGAAGACCTTGCATCTGTTATAGCATTACTGAGTCATGGAGCAGACTTTAAAGTGAGAAACATTTTTGATTGGCCACCACTGCCTGCAGAAGCTTTAGGGACTCTGCTTAATTGCTGCCTTCTGACTAGTGGGCATTTTCCCAATGATGAAGATTATAAGCTGGTATTCAATTATGGCCTCATATTAGCACATGCTAGACGGAATGTGAGAAAGACTGCATCAGAGGAGGACTCACTGCCTTTCATGAAAAATCAGGATCAAGAATCATTTGAAGAGAGGCATCAAGTAGAAGCACTTACATCTGAAATGGATTTACTCTTTCACCTAAGTCAGTCACAAGAATACAGACACTTGCTTAAACATCCAATTATCACAAGCTTCTTATATCTGAAGTGGTTCAGAATCCGAGCGATATACTACATACATCTTGTACTGTATGTTATATTTTTAATATTACTTAATATATATATTTTCATGGATTATGGTTTATCACATCCATATTCCATATTTAAGAACGCTTCAATGAACAATGTCTCAGTTGAAACAAGTACTTCAAAAGGTCAATATCAAGAAACACATCTGGAACGGTTTAGGACAGTCTATGGAAACTTAACTTGGTTTCTACTCCTTTTTATACTTTTTTGTCATACAATGAGAGAATTGTTCAAATTTGTCATGTCACCCTCAAAATATCTCCTCACATTAGATAATATGCTTGATATAGTTTTGCTCTTCATAACTTCAATAATTCTGTTTAAATCTTGGGATGAAGATAATCATAGGAAATTATTCACAGCAATCGCCTTATTCCTATCATGGACTGAACTGGCATTAAAGACTGGACGCCTTCCTCAATTATCCACTAACATTGAAATGCTGAAATCTGTAGTGAGGCATTATGCTTTCGCCTTCTTATCATATTTCCTTTTTATCATAGCTTTTGCACTGGCATTCTACATCTTCTATCACGATAATGAGGCATATAACAGTGACTTGCAGGTATTTCCAACTCTGTGGGCAGCAGTCACAAACACATTCATGTTAATGACTGGTGGATTTGATATGCTTTCTAGTAATGGCTATAGTCATATCATGCTTCTGTTATTTACTTTCTTAATTATTATTGTTATGTTCAATGTGCTGACAGGCTTAGCTGTGTCTGATGTACAACTGATTCATGACAATACAGAAATCCTCCAGGCAGTGTCAAGAATATCTCTTCTATATGAAATCGAGAGTACTTTCATACACTGGAACACATTCATGGAGAAAATATGCAAGTTCAATTGTGCATCAAAAATGGCTACATACTTGAACAGTGCATTAAGAAGGGTAATATTATTTCCTAACACAATCACATCACAGAAAAATATAAGTATTTTGCCCAACAGAAATGCTAAAATCATATTCCACACTGATACAGATTCTGTCACTTGTAAAATGAACATAAAAATCCTACAAGCAGCCTTAAACATTATTAGTAATAAAGAAAAAACTTCAGAATTGGATCACATGAGATATAGGCTACAACAAAATCATAATGAATATTTGCAGAAATTTATAGAAAGTAGCAACAGTATTGACAAAATTAAGGACACAATTGAAGAAAATTTTAAGAAACTAGAAAAGATTGAAGAAAACTTTAGTGTGTTTCAGAATAAAGTAGACAGGACCCACACAAATTTAGATACAAACATAAAAAATCTAAAAGAACAATGTCATTTACAATTAGTTTATTCAGAGAAAACTCTGCAAGAAAAGCTTGAAAAGTATGAGTGCAGGTTCGACCAGATTCAACAATCACAAAAAAAAACAATAGATCTCCTAACGGATATACTAGCTGTACTCAATTCAGGAAATGACAAAACTGCATTTGGAAGCAAAACTTCTACTGTATAAATTTCATTAACTTATATTATATTGAAATATATTTCATATTAGTGAGAGTAATGGCAGTTATGATTAAAATGGGTTTCTGCCTTCTGGGTTACAATGCTGTGTAATTTATCGAGAGCCAACTGATGATATGGAGAAAAATACCACCACCACCATAAGAGTCAAAGAGTAAGCCAGTCAAGAAACTGGAATGTCAGTCAATTTTCACTGGAATACATGGTGTTACTCACATATCTCAAAAGATATAACCACTGCGGGCACCTAAACTCTGACATGTGATTAAATGATGCATAATTTATTTGCTGCCTTTGAGAAAATTTATTATTTGTATTGTGGTTTTATGGTTTATGAGCATGTAGTCTTGTGGGTGGTTACTGATGTCACAGAACACTGGTAATTACCCGACTACAGTGGAACCTCGCTTAACGAGCATAATTCGTTCCAGAATCTTACTCGTAATACAAAACAATTTTTCCCATATAAATTAATGTAAAATACGACAATGCATTCCATGCCAAAAAAAATACTCAAAATATTTTATGTATAAAGTTTATTCAAAGAAAATTATATATACATTGTTAAGGAGTGTGAATCATCTTCATCTTTTCTTCTATGCGGAATGAACCAACCTGGAATGCTAATTCAATTTCCAGAAAACAAAAAACAAACCGAAATAATTAGTTTATTATTTATTATACATATCTAATTCTTTTTTACTAGAAAGCTGTCTAGAGACATTTGTTTTTGCCAACGCTTCAAAATTTGGTGAAAATGCGACACAGCATTATCACTAAATAAATTTGTAGCGCTCATAGCCACTGCCTTATTAGGGTGATGCTTCTCAATGTATGATGCAACAGTTTCCCATGCTTTCAGCATTTCTCTTATTGCGCCAGAAGATTGTTGCTTTGCTGTTACCTCCTCCTCCTCCTCCTCTGACAAACTCTCCTCCACAACTTCTTGCTGTGAAACACAATGCAACTCCAAATCGTGCAAATCGTTGATGTAAACCAATTGGATGTGCACGCTAGATCAGCCACACTCACACCCCATTCTCGCTTTCCAATGATTTTACGTCTCATTTCTACGGTTATTTTTATTCTCTTATGGCTGTCTTTTTGCGGCTTTCTCTTCGGGGACATTTTTACAAGGGTTATTAAACTCTGCACAAAAAAATCACAAATAATATGTCTGAACACAAGTTTGGAAAAATGTGTGATCACAAGCGACACTAAGATGCTAGCAAAACGAGTGCTAAACACAGACTGATGTAGCAAGCACACAATCCGGGACTTCCCCTCTCATCACTCGTTATGCAAAACGTCGCTTGTTAAACGAGTCATTCTATTACAATTTGTTTTGCTCATTATGCGAATTACCCATTATGAGAGGTGCTCGTTAAGCGAGGTTCCACTGTATATGGAATCATAACCCAGAAAATGAGAATACAAATTTTCATTTGCATAAACACCTTAAATCAAAAGTTTAATGATGTTCAATTCAAGCTATCTGTAAAGCTGGAGTCACATAAATCAAAACGAAATTCATGTAACAACTTTCTGTCAAAAGCACCAGTACCAAATTTCATAAAAACAAAAAGCTGAAAATAAAACCTGAATAAAATTAAAATGTGAAACATGAAGGATGGCTAGACATAAAGACAGATGAGATTCAGTTTATTAATGTCAACCAAATTAGGGACACCTATAATTGTCACCATGAAACTAAAAAGTACCACACTTTGGATAAAGCATGAGCCTTACAGTGTAACTTCAACTGGAAGGTGTACTTTAATCAACTGTTTTGATAGTATCTCATTCACTCATGGAGCTGAGCACTTCTTGAGAAGCCACCAACTGTGCACCTATTCAAGAACTTCCCAGCATTTTATGGAATACAAAGGTTCATTATGTTCACTGGAGATTTTACTTATTCCAAGTTTGTATATTTATTCATTAATGCTGTATTTTTGTGGATAACAAGCATTACTTTCAAAGTAACTCTTCTGTTCATGACATTAATACAAGATACATGAATCAATTACACATACCCTTAGTTAGACTTTCTGCTAGTACATATTGTGCTATTAAAGTATTCAATAAATTGCCACATGGTATATTTTGATTAAAAATGAAAAGCAATTTCTAAGCCTACTTCTTACACTGTCTTTTATTCTACAGAAGATTTTATATCAAATTATTAGTTCCTTTTATAAACGGTCTTTTTAATAATGTATAGCTTATGTAGTCTTTTGTATTGTCCATTTAAGCATTTACTCACATTCTGTTATATTAGATTTTGTACTTACTTCGTTGTTTACATACTATGTATACTGTATATTATTGTTTAATGTTTCTTTTGTTCACATTGCATTCTGCAATGTACATCTCCTGACATGTTTCATATTCACTCTTTGATGGATGAATGTTGGATTAATGAAATATGTATGTATGTATGTAAATTAAAATAATTATTTTGATCTTGCAATAGAGAAATTGCCTCATTCATGAAGAGCCTTGGATGGCGTCTGAAAGAAAAATTGTAAATTTTATGAATATAAAATCCAGTGTGGATTTCATTAAAATGTCACTGTATATACATAAGTGAAGCTGGCTGAGGAACCAGCGGTGGATTTCTATAATGGAAGGCTGACAGTTACCTTCTATGAATCGTGTTTTGTGATATTTATAACTCCTTTATAGTGTCAGCAATTCTTGAGAGCCCTGAAAAGAGACATTATAATAATATCACATAATACCCATCATTAAATAAACCAATGAACCATTCTCAAATATCATAATTTCATTACACTAAAAGAAATGTCTATAAATTAAGAACACATGAGAAATGAGAGAACACCTCTTAGCAGAATATAAGTGCTCAGGCAGAAAAAGAAAACCAACAAAACAAATGTAAGGTCATTATTACAGAAATTTATTTGGAATTTATCTGATGTAAAATGCAAAATTTGAAAAATTCCAGAGAAATTCTAAAGAAAGCTGACAAATTATGTATCATGGCAAAAGTATTCTCTCAGTATGTTACACAGGAAGTAGGAGAAGGAAATTTATTACATATAAACACAAGCAACCAGGATACAGTTATCTCTGCAGTTCCTGCTGGCAGTTCTGAACACGAAGGAGAATGTTTAAGGCGAGGGCACACCAAGGAAACCGGCAACTACAACTTCTGAGAATTGTTATTAGACTGAGTTAAACACCTGGAACTGAATGGAGCACCGCAAATTGAGGAAACGGCAAAGAAACTCCAAGTCGACTGAGAAAGCCAGTCTTCTCATAGTTGCATTTCAATGGAGTTTCCTAGTTTCAGATCTAACATGCTTTTGTGATTCATTTGCATCTTCAGATGACACAAAAGATTGACTGAAGGTGCTATTTGTTCAAATGCAGTTAACAGAGCAGGAGCCTGGTATATATGACAAATGTCATGCAAATTATACTAGATGGAACAAATTTTTTTTGGCTTGGGAAACAATTTCTCACGAGATGGAGTCTGGGTCCTGTCAAGTTCTTTAGAAACAACAGAATCACCAGAGTTTAAATTGTCATGGAAGAATGGATGTACCCAATTTTTTCTTTTCCTAATATTTTATTTTAGCATCCTGTTGCATTAATATATAATTTATTTCAAATATATTTCCATCTTAAATATAAATTATCTAGTCACTGTTCTACCATGCTAAATGTTCTGGCCATATGTGGCCATCATCAGGTGTCTTCTAAAAAAAGCACCATGGCCTGTAGTCCTCAAGTGAACTATACTGACGAAGTGACTGCTGCTTGTCGGCGAAGTTAGTGCCAACTTTTGTGGATAGAGGGTATCGCGTGGTTAACCACCACCATATCATGGCAGGATCAGTATTTTTTTTTTTGTCTCAACACAAGAACTATCAAAATCTCATTCACATCTGCTGTGTATAATGTGGGTTTATTGATCTTAAAGGTATGGCAGTGTGCTGCATGTTTCAGCTTATCAAGCCGTCACCAGGCAGTATACACTAACAACTGTTCTCAAACTACTGAATTGTGTTTTTCATTAATTAATATATTACAATATAACAACTATGTATAATGTATCTGACTTTACAGACATTTAATATATTTGCCATTTTGTTAGAATTAATACCATTCTTATAAATATATTAAAATTGGAATAAAAATTTTATACTGAATGGGTGCCTAGAGATGTACACTATCTGATAGAAAGTATCCGGACACCTCCCCAAAACTGTGATCTGACCTCTTCTGTGACACTTCCCAGTCGTGGACATTAATACTGGGTGGGCCCACCCTTGGCTTTATGACAGGGAGACTTTCCACCAGGTGTCTGAATGTCTCCGGCAGGATGGCAGGCCATTCTTCCTGCAGAGCTCTAGCCAGAGCAGTTAGTGATGTGGGGTGTTGGGGTCTAGAGTGAAGTTGACATTCTAATTCATCCGACAGGTGTTTACTGGATTCAGGTCAGGACTCTGGACTGGGCAGTCCATTTCTACTCTTCACAAACCATTCCTTCACAGACCCTGCTCTATGGCAGGGAGCACTGTCATGCTGATACAGACAATCGACATCACCTAAGTAGTCTTCTCTGTAAACAGTATGCAACAGGTCAAAATGTCCTTGTATCCTTCCACATTTAGATTTCCACGCAGTATTACAAGAGAGCCGAGTCCATTCCATGATAAACACCCCCACACTGTAATGCCACCTCCTCCAAATCCCACTGTTTGCACTACACATGCTGGCAGGGGTCGTTCTCCAGGCATCTGCCACACTCAAACCCTCCCATTGGACCGCCACATGGTATAGCGTGATTCATCACCTCAAATCACTTTTCTAGCTGTCCACTGTCCAGTGGTGTCACTCTTTACACAACTTAGGCGGCGCTTAGCATTTACAGGTGAAATGTTTGGATTTTGAGCAGCTGCTGGCCCATAGATCCTCCAGTATTTTAAAATTTTTATTCGTAAAGGGGCAAAATATAAATAAAACTTACATCATATTTATCAGCAAGAAAAATCAAGATATACTGAAAGATAAGTATTGAAAAGTAACAAAATATGTCAGATTGCATTACATTGGTTTAAGAGTTCTGGCATAGTAGAGCATTGCTCAGACTGCTAATACAGAGCTGAGTGTAAACTTTCATTTAAGTTTATAACAGAAACACCTTGTTACAACATGGTCTTGTGATATGAATTCTAGGGATAAGGAGAACTTGATCTTAATTTTCTCTGTTTGCTTATCATTATACTCTTAATTAGTGCATTTTCCTTTCCCATCCACATTATAAGGGGGCAAGTGGTACAGTAGTTGGTTGAGGTACTATGCTACAAGCTGGAAGGCCACAGGTTCAAGTCCCGATGAAGTCACTGGATNTTTGCTTATCATTATACTCTTAATTAGTGCATTTTCCTTTCCCATCCACATTATAAGGGGGCAAGTGGTACCGTAGTTGGTTCAGGTACTATGCTACAAGCTTGAAGGTCGTGGGTTCAAGTCCCGATGAAGTCATTGGCTTTTTTCAATTGACCTTATCCTTCCAACTGCACTATGGCCCTGGGGCTGACTTAGCCTCTAACAGAAATGAGTACCAGGAATATTCTTTGGGGTAAAGAGTGGCCAGTGCATAGGGCTGACAACCTTGCCACCATCTATGAGCCGATTGTCTAGAAAACGTAGGAACCTCAACATCTCACAGCCCTATGGGCCTACATGGTCTGTTACAGGGATACCTTTACTTTTTTTTTATCCTCATTATAAACCCTTAATATTACAACACACCTTCTTCCAAAACGTGGGGTGCAGAACTGAACACTATACGAAACCAACCAGGATCAGCACATCTCATCTCTGAGCCCGGAGTGAGATACACTTTATGAGCCATGAACCGTTTGAATAATGCTGTAATAAGTGACTGTATTAATAAACACAATGAACACAAATTTGCTTGAACAAACAGAAATATGATTTCAATACAGCATTTCTTTGTGGCTGTAGAATTTGAATGTTATAAGTAGGAAAACACTACATGTAAAAGTTGTATTTTCTATCAAAGCACTAGTTAAATCATCTTCAATATTCATTACCTGGAATGCTCTTATTTCTAGAAGTCAGATGTTCATGCTCACCTGTCTACAAAGAACAGCTCTTTATTTTTGTTCTCTTCACTCACCATGTTTACTAACAACAAAGGATTTCCAAATTTTTCTTTAATTAAAGTTTTTATATTCATTGCTTTTTCTTCACACTTCAACTCAGAAAAAATGTTAAACATAATTCTTCTATGAGTGAAAATTACATTAAAAGGGAACAACAAATTAATAAACTATTTGTATAAGACTTAGGTTTGAACTATAAAAAATAAACATTAAGTGAAGGAAACTTACAATCAGGAAGCCATAAGATTTCCACTGCAGATAGTTATAGATATCAGTGATAGCTAATGGACATGAAAATTATTCATAATTATATGCTGTATATGAAATGTGCAAGGCATGAGAAAGTTAGCAAGAATAAAACTGGATTGGCATAAAGCTGAGTATATCAGTCACATGCATTATACTGAAAATCAACCAACATAAATATGACAAAACTCAGAATAATTTTAATATATTAGCATATTTTTTTTTATAAATTGTTATATAGGATATGAAAAACTGCTGACAAAATCAACTCATGGCAGTGTTCTGTGCTGCCACTGTACAATTTCATCGACTTTCGCAAAAAGCGACATATTCTTGTCAGTGATCAAGAAGAGGACAGAGGAAAGAGATGGATAATTCAAAACAGGTCAAAAAGTAGTTCTTTGGATGGTATGTAATTCATCTTTCATTATTGATTCCCCCCCCTTGTGATTCATGGGGGGAATCAACAATAAAAGAGAAATTACATAGGGGAATGGTTGTTCTTACACTGAGATTTTTACTAAGGGGGGAGGGGGGGGCTATGCAAAATTATGTCAAGAAACTGACTTCATCTTGTAAGGCTTACTATTTATAGTTATAGTAGAATGAGTTCATAAAACAATGACTGAAACAAACACCAAAAGGGGGCCCACCCAGCCTCCTATCCAATTGGTACCGGGTGCTCTTTCCCTGGGTGTAAAGAAGCAGGGGCTTGAAGCTGACCACTCACCTCCTGTTAATGCCATGTCAAGAAAACGTGATCTATATATCCACTCCCCCATATGCCTTCACGGCATAGTGCTTAATTAGTTAAGCACAGGGAAAACTTAACCTTTTTGTTGATTCTACCTACATCCATAACACCAGTGGGTCACAACAGAGTGGGTCCTCTTGAACCAAATAAGTGAACAACTCCTTCAGTAAACTAATAAGTAACTGAGTGGCCAACTTGTTTCAAGAACATTCCTTCATCCTCACTTTGTTTTCCAGTTATTTTGCTTTCTTCTTGCTGCACAACTTCAGTATTTTGGCCCAAGTATTCAGTTTCACAGACCGGACATATATCTCCCATAATTTGCTTACTACCCTTGCACATACAGTACTTTCAATATAAGGTTTTCCTAGAACACTGTTAAGGCTGTGATCCTTTTTTTACATGCTTCTGCAAAAGTTCTGCTCATACCAGAATAACACTGTAAAACCTCAAATATTTCAGTAAAAAATGCACAGAGAGAGTCTGATAATACACCAAGCAACTTTGTGATAGTCTTCCTTGAAGTGGCCATTAAGGAATGGATTGAAGAGGAGGTAGAAAAGAGAGGGTTTTCTCATTGTGAATGACACATTTTTAAGGTCATAAAAGAAAACATTTGGAGAGGTCTAGAAATCTAGCAGAAACGGTACAGTCTGCCACCCACACAACTGAAACATTAAAACACATAAGGGATAATAGGGTTAGTACGATTTTCTTCAAGTTCAGGCTACATATATTTACTGAACAACAATGATTATTCTGGAAAACTTAAAATATCAAGTTAAAGCCTATGGACTTAAGTAGAATTGAACTGTGATATCCCATACATAAGACTAATATGTTAGGCAGTAGGATGTTACATTCGTAGTCTTGTCCATATTCGCTGGCTACTTTTCCCTAAATATCAGGAATCTTCATAATTAACTTTGTGACATTTATTGGAATTAACTGAGAGTTGCATTGGACTTACCGAGTTCCTCATCGTGGTTCACTTTTGGTAAGAAGCATCTTAAGTTGGCCCAAAGAAAGAAACCTGCTTGTGCAGGTTGTACTTTAGCACCAAGAGAGATGAGTGCATTTTGTGTTTTGTGAGCAGCTTCGCGGAGACGTTGCCGATGAGTCGGTAAGAATTCTTCATCTAACCATACTGCATTACCAAAACACAAGAGAAGTCCAGTTTTACAATGAACAGAACACAAAAGCAGGTTTGAATTAGATATAACCAGCCACCTTTCTACACATTTAAACCAAAAGCACTGGGTGATGTAGCCTCAAACTTGAAATACCTTCTTCCTTTCAATATTTTAAAAAGCCAAAACAGAGAGTGCAATAACAGTTTGAACAATACTGCAACCATTGCTCAAATGAACTGTACTGATTACACAATTAAAAGCCTAACTTAAGAGTCAGTGGTTTCCAGTCTTTTCAAAATTATGGACTGGCAAAACATATGCAGCTATGTAAGAGATGAAAACAGCTTTACTAATAAATTTTTGCTCTGTATTATGAATTTGGATTATTAGAGCAATTATAATCATTTTTAAAACATTACAACCCACAAAGAGTTCTATCTTTTGAGGTATAACAACGTATAACCCACTGAAAGACAATCAGTTTCTGTAGGAATATGATTAATCTATCTTCAAGGTTCAACAGTAAACCAAAAAAGGAACTGGCATGAATCAGGCAGCAAGCAAAGTGTTGTCTGTTGCTTGCTGCTTGCTTCATTCTGGTTTCTTGCTCAGCTTATTCTTTGACCCAAAAGATGAAGGCAACATTTTCCTCTGAAATGTTGGTTGACTTTCAATAAACTACACAGTGCTTCTAGGTATATCATAAAATTAAAATACTGTCACGTGCTGGGTGTATGACACGCGACAAATAACTTCATGCCATATTGGATATAGCGAATTTATTCCACATGCGCTCTTACACTCACACAATTCACAGTTTCACAAGTACTGCCATCTGCAGTATCACAATTACTTCTACTGCTCTCAGCAACTGCTAGACTTCAACTGCACTCAGCCGACTTCACGATCCACACTCTGTCACTCCTGATCACACACTCCCTGGTCACATACTGCTCAGTTGGCTTTTTATACCGTTCCCTGTTGCCTCGTGTTACCAGCATTGTCCCCTGTTACGTCACTGCGGGAGAGGAGGGCAGAGTGTTGACTGGCCTGTTACCGTAGCAGCGGCAGTTGCTCCGATGTTGTTACATCACCATGGCAATGGTTGCCTGACACAGTTGCTCTTCTGTTATGTCAACGGGGGGGGAGGGGATGTTTACCAAGCATTGCATAATGATGGAAGGAGTGAGGGTATGTGACGTCACTCGCGAGGCCGCAGAGTTCTCATGGCCCCTACTTCCTGTTGTGCCATCCACGTCACACTGCTCCCTTCTAAAGGTTGTTCATCTTGAACAGCCTAACAGTACATCCCTGTTTCTTTTTCTTCCCGTTGTCTGTTCTCCAACCGCTACATCTGCTCCCTCTCTAAGACCAGCTTGTCTCAAGCGGTTTCCTCTTAACGTGCCAGAAGATCCAGCTGTATCACAATTGTCCCTCACATTCATCCATCGCACATTCACTCTCACTGGGGAAGAGGGTACTTCTATTTTACAGGCTCCTCCTCTGCTTGAAGTCTCTTTTTCCGTTTTGGAGGGGGTCGACCCCTCCATAAGTTCCGTTTCCTAATTTTTGGTAACCTACTGGAAATTCCTGCTGCTTGCTTTGTGATTTCCAGCCTGACGGCCTTCCTGTAGCTCTCGTTTGTTGTCCTCTCGCTTCCAAGCTGTAGCTGCTCCTCAAAGTCTCGGTTCCTGGTCAGATTGTTGCTTACCTGGTTCATCTGTTGTCTCCTTCTGTGTGTCCATCCTTTCCGGGTTCCTTGTACCACACTGTCCCTGGTACAAACTTTCCCAACAGCATTATCCTTGCACCGTGCCACTCCTGCATGGTGGGTTGTGCTCTTCACATTTAAGTACTTCATACCTATTTTCTACTCTAAGAATGTATGGATGTGCAGTACACGTGAACATATATGACAGATACTAGACACTACATACCCGTATCATTCAATAAGCTGGCAGCTGCTTTCTGGACAATTGCAGGCACTGCAGTGTACACGGAAGTGTTCTTCACAACATGCAACAAATCCTTATTCTGAGAGATAAGAGCACCTATTCGTATCCCAGCCAGGTTCATATCCTGTGTAAACAGTTAATTTATGTACAGTATCCTTAAGAAGTTATAACCGTCCCTCCACTGATGGCCGCTAGCTGGTTTTGCCAAGTCCTTTAGCTACTTGAGGTAACTAGGGCCACCTGTGTTGCAACGATCCTCATCCCTCACTGCTCACCTCCATCACCGTGGCTACCTCAAGATCTCTTTTTGATGACACTCTGGTCACATTCCGCAAGTTCTTTGTGGAAGAGGTAGGTTAACTTGGGAGGCAGGGAGTGAAATTTGGGCGCCAGTAAGCGTACTTCAGTAGCTTACAGCTGAAGGCTAACCGGGCAGGTGAGTCTCGAGTCTGTCTGGCTTTCTCAGGGAGAGATGGACTCTGTCTCAAGGCATATCGGGCCTCACTCTGGTAGGACGGGAAGTAGGTGGTGTTCACTAATTTCAAGACACTGGCTACACCACTATGTTTAATTATATCTTTATTGAACTTATAATTCGTATAATGTTTAGCAAATTGTGGATGTTGGGACACTGTTTCGCGGCTGTATCACTTTGAATCTCGGATACGAATCCTTGGGGAATGGGTTCTCTGAAGTAAAAACTCTCTGAGCCCAAACTTCCACAAGGAAGCTCATCCTTGAAGCTTGCCTTATTGGCCCAGTTCAGCTTTTGGGAGTTCTTCACAAATTTGTATCTACCAATCAAAATTATTTTAGTTTTTAATTCTCTGATTGCCTCTTTGGCAGCTTGGTGATAAATTCCCATCAGTAGCGTGGGTATCTGAACCCCCTATCGCTTGAATGTTAGTGGCAATAACTGTCCAACCTTCCTTTTCTCAAAGGAATACTGTTCTAGTTCTATAGCTTTATTCAGGATGTGTAGCGTATGCTACATCCTGTCCCTTCGTAAAGGAGGAACCCCGGTTGCTTCTGAATGTACCGACAAAATGTCCCATCCTGTCCGCTTCTTAACACAAAAATGTGACTAGTGCTACATCTTAAATATAACTTAAACTTTAATGAATGGTTACAAAGTGTAGTCATTCAGAAAGTGTGAAAATACATCATTTTAAAGACATGGCCATTCACAGGATAAGATTTAGCTTATAAAAACAGTTCAACAACATTTCAAGTTTATCTGTAATTTTAAACCTAAATCATGAGAAAATGTAAAAGGTGAATATAAACTCTTGGCAAAATTAGCTTGGAACAACTGCATTTAAATTCTAATGAAATCTCAGTAAACTTTACTACATATTTTCTGTGAAAACATGTAAATAAGGAAGACATATGATATGTAAATCAACTTCGTGTAACTAAAAGACAGAACATTTCAAAAACAATGGACAGTTGTCTTCCATGGCTGCTTACATATGACATTCAATCATAAACTTTTCTTGTTCCTGGTAATAATACACCATCTCCTACTTTGAGGGCCGCATGAAAATTACAAGTATTTGAAAACAGACTGCTCAGAAATGCATTTGGAACTAGGAATGTTGATGCGAACAATTTAGGATATTACACAATGAGTGACTTTGTGATGTATACAGATCATCTAATATGGTTGGATAGTGTTGGTTACTATTGGAAGTATTGTACAATATTCTAATAGAGTTTGGGATACCCATGAAACTAGTTAGGTTGATTAAAATGTGTTTAAACGAAACGTATACTAAAGTCTGTGTAGGTAAACATTTGCCTGATAAATTTCCTATCCAGAATGGTTTAAAACAAGGAGATGCTTTATCGCCACTCCTTTTCAACTTTGCTTTAGAATATGCAATTAGGAAGGTCCAGGGAAACCAGGTGGGACTGAAATTAAATGGGACACATCAGCAGTTGGCCTATGCCGATAATGTGAATCTACTGGGTGATAATGTAGATACCATAAAGAAAAACACACAAACTTTAATTGACAAAAGTAAAGAGGTTGGTCTAGAAGTAAACACTGAGAAAACTGAGTATATGTTGCTGTCTC